CAAATCTGTGCAAGTCTTTGAAATAGATGAAAACGTCTTAGTCTGAAAGGATCTTTATGCTGTTTGTGAGTAATGTGATCCAATAGAATAAACACCAGATAAATGTTTTCCACAGCTTCTCCTCTGAAACAAGCAGCGAGGATCAAAGACCTGATGCTGCACTCTTGTTTTCTCAGATCAGGTGAAATATATTGTTCTTCTTCTACCGATTATTTCTAAGCGATGGGAGCCGTTAAAGTCTTTACCCACATAACCTAAGGCAAACACTGCAGGGCCGTTGGGATGAGACAACAATTAGGATGAGAAAATACACTAAGCAAATGATCCACGGGCTGGCAGGTAAATGCAAAAAGAGAAACAAAGGAAGTGAAAAGGCCTTAAAGACTTCGTCATCTTGTGTGACTAAAACTAAATGGAGAATTTCCTAACTACAGTTTCCAGTGAAGTTCATCAAACTTTAAAGAAATCCCTGTAATGATGTAGCGTAGATTTATATAATAACTCATTACTGTTGTATATTCAGCTCTCCGCTAGTCCAATATCTCATTACCAGGCTCTATACACGACACAGGGAAAAAGGAACAAAGCTCAGCTCTATAAGGAGTTCTGCACACACATGAATAAATGATTACATTAAATAGAAGAATAGTCTGAACTAATAGGGGGGTAGCACATCTGTGGATTTGTCCTTTTTCTCTACAGTCAGAAACATTTTTCACCTCTCTTTGAAATCGCTCACAGGCATGAGTGATCGTTGCTGCGCGCTTGGATCTCTGCCAGTCTTGTTACAACGTAATTCCTCTTATGACTGCCTAATGAGGAAAACTCATTCGCAGAGACATTCATCACAAACGAAGCAGCATGTGCGTCTCTAATGCTTCAGTCAACCAAAGAGCGCCGTCTCTTTAAGGAAGGCTGAAACAAGCGTGCCCTGATGGTAAACACAACAGCACTGCCAGCAAAACCTGATTAATGCCAAACATCCACTGTAATTATCACATTAGCATATTGTAATCTCACAAATTACCATGAAAATCATAATGACAGCTTTCTTTTTACACTTTCAGCGGGGCGAACACCGTGTGATACGCCCATTGAGAGCTCCTTTCTGACATTAGAGTAGGGGACTAATTCTACACAGGAGCTGCCACATCTAAGATGCTACGCTAAAAGGCATTTTACAGGCTAAACATTAATTATTCATTAAATAAATTATCAAAAAAGAGGCTTAATGTGAGCATCCTGGAAATAGCACGAACCCACAACACACACACAACCACACACAGACTATGGAATCTGCTGTGGCTTTTTCACATTTTCACACACACATTTTTCTCTCTAGGCTAATGCACTGAGCATGATTGCTGAGTCAGGGTATATGCAGATTTAAGGGAGCCAAATTTAAGACTTTTTAAGACCTTTTTTAAGGCCACTTTGACCAAATTTAAGCTATTTTAAAAATTAAATTTAAGCTATAATTTCCAGTTATTGCCTGGAACCGGTGCTAACCACGTCGCAAACGTGGGATTAGCCATCCAGTTACCATTAAACTTGCCCTTTCCCATGGCGCAAGCTCCCACTAGCTTAACCAGCTAATGTGCTCATCTAAAAAAAAATAGCCCCCTTTCACAACCAACTGACTGCGTACGGTTCCGCTTACGTCAACATCATACACAAAAAATGCTGAACACTAACTAGAAATTCACGGAATTTTTATAGAAATAAAAGAATCTTGTTTATTGGGTCTTTGGTCATTTAAGACCTTTGGAAACTGGATTTAAGGATTATTTGTCATTTTTAAGGACTTTTAAGGCCTTAAATTAGGAAAAGCTAATTTAAGACTTTTTAAGGACCCGCGGATACCCTGTGAGTGCACATAGGAAGTGAGGAGATATGGATGAACTACCAGAACCACACAGGGTTCTTAATAAGAGGCTGTAGGGAGGTGAGAAAACACCCCTTCCATCATTTTTTTTAACTTCCCATGATCTCGTTCAAGGACTTCATCTGCAAATATAACGGACGAGTCGGACCTTTAGGGGATAATTCGGATTAGGACAAGCGACTTGTGTGTGTTGGGGATTGGGAATGGGATTGGTGGTCTACCTACGTGGATCCTCTCCTGCATGATTAAAAAGTCTCAAAGCCGTCACCTCTAACTTCATCCTCTATTACATCATCTGATTATTACACACTTCCTGTTTAAGAGAGTGAGAGATGCAAATGCAGAAGAGGAAAAGTCATATTGCATATGGATGTTATGCAATTTTCCTCAGCATCTAATAACTTACAAAGCTTTGATGACAGAAATCCTACAGCTAAACCTTGAAGCTCCCACTCAGGATAAACAAAACTCGTGCAACAAACCAGCCAACGCCCTGAGTGAGCTGCTTACAAAAAGAAAAGTAGAATAAAATCTAAGAATGACTACCAGCCCATCTGCTTTGTAGCCTTAATTTTTGAAGTTTAAAGGCGATCCGGGGTGGTAGAGATGCTTTCGTGGCTCTGCTGACTAATAAAGGGGGGTTCTCTTTTTTAGGTTCCTACAACATCAGATCTTAAATAATTCCCTTTGTAGGGTCGTTTTTACATCATGAATGAGAAGATCCTTGATTAAATATAAGTCCTCATTGATAAAAAGTTCAAATGTGTAGAAAAAGGTCTCCAGAGATGATTAAAACTGACACAAACTGGTCTTTTTCTATTAGATAAATCTATGGATGTATGTCTTGTTAAGGTCAGAGGAGAGTGGGCAGGCCAGTTTTGGAGTCCAGGGAACTCCAGCAGCAGGAGATCACACCTAAGCCCCCTTCAAACAGGCCATGAAAAACGGAAATGTTCAGGACTCTGTCCGTAAGACCTTTGTGTCTGAATACAAACATCCAGATAACCTTTTCCGTAATTAAACCGCACGAAGCCCCTAGTAACAGGTCCGGACTTGTCACGGACAAGGTGGCTGCTTCAGACTGGTGAGGTCGAGTTCCGGACAGGGAGGAGGAGGGGACCGGGGGACGCTGAGCGCACCTAGATAGCTTGCTCCTGTAGCATGCGGCGAACCATGGCAGCTCGCCTCCTACAGTACTGACTAGACGCGCGACGGGGCGCTTCACACCGCTTCCGTGATTCCTTTATTAGCCATTGAGCTTCATCATCCAGGTCTCTTATGCGTCTTCGTGTGCGCAGAATTATGCTTAACATAAGTCCGATCAGTGAGAGGAATTCTATCTCTTCATCTGCCATGTTTGACTGAATGGCTTATGGCTTTGTTTGGGTAAATGACACATGTCGCCCCCCCCCCACACACACACCCACACACACACACACACACATTGTCCACACATATCCCAGAATGTCAATCTGAAAAGGGCTCTAGAGTCTCTCCTATCAGCGAAGAACAGGACACTGAGACTACCATTAACACAAGATCACCAGAACTGGACCAGAAGAGACTGGAAAATCTTCCCTGGTCTGATGAGTCTGGAATTCAGCTTCATCATTCAGAGGGTCGGGTCAGAATTAGGTGTCACCAACATGAAAGCATGGATCCATCCTGCTTTGTATCAATGTTTCAGGCTGCTGCTGCTGGTGTAATGGTGTGAGGGATGTGTTCATGTTCCACCTTGAACCCATCAGTACCACCTGAGCCCGGTTGAAACACCACTGCCTACCTGATTATTGTTGCTGACCATGTCCATCCCTTAATGATCACACGGACCCATCTTATGATGGCTATTTCCAGCAGGATTATGCACCATGTCACAAAGTTCAGATAATCTGGTTTTTGGAACATGATCATCAGTTCAATAGACTCCAGATCTCATCCCAAAACCTTTGGAATGTGGTGGAACAGGAGATTCTCATCACGGATGGAGCTGATGCTGTCATGTCAAGATGGACCAGAACCTCTGAGGAATGTTAGTGAGTTAATGACATGAACAGATTTGTTTCTGAAGACAAGAGGGGTCTGTGGTGTACCTAATAAAGTGGCAAAGTGAGTGTCAAATCTGATGTGTTTTTGCCTTGTATGATGAGATTGCGGCTCTAAGAGTTTTATTATCTATCAACTAATAAAAGCTGTGTCTCTTTGTGAGAATTATTTACTTCGCACTAATTATTAACTAAAAAGTGTTTTTTTAACCTGATATTTACCCGAGTGGAGATTTTAGTCCCAACCCCGCTGTGACCTCTGAAAGCTCAACTCAGAAGGGAGCAGGTGAAGCTGAGGGTGGAGACACTTGTGACGATTTCTGTCAAACGCTGCAGCAACTCAGCAGTTTATCCGCTGCCTCTCCCTCTAATGGGGTAACGCAGCGTTCAGAGCAGCTCGTATTTACTCTCTGTACGTCCCGTCTTCCTGTTCCACGCTGAACATCCTCTTCCTTCCTCTCCCTCTAGCTTCCCTGCTAATCTACACTCTGGCAGAAACTTCTCCATGAATAATTGAAATGAATGACAGCGCCATCTCATTAGGAATTCACATTATAGGCCTCAGCCGAGGGGGAAGAGGAGAAAGATAACGTCCTGAGAAGATAAAGTGCTGAAAGGATTCAGGTAGTAATGCAAAACTGAGCGTGTGTGTGTGTGTGTGTGTGTGTGTGTGTGTGTGTGTGTGTGTGTGTGTGCGTGCGTGCGTGCGTGCGTGCGTGCGTGCGTGCGTGCGTGCGTGCGTGTGAATGAAACTCGTCATTTAGACCCAGCTGCCTGTTAGCTGGAATCGGTGCTGTGATGCAGCAAACAACCAGTTAGCTCCAGCCCTCATAAATGGGAATGTGCTCAGAGGGAATGCTCCCACTTTCCACTCCTAAATACACTTCATCCTGTCCCATGTGATTGCATACCAACTGTGTGCTTTTGTATGACTCATCTTTTTTTTCTAATCATGTTCTTTTCCTCCAATCAAAGCAGACTGTTGCTTTAGTGGGAAACGCCATAACCCAGGACAGTGTGTGTGTGTGTGTGTGTGTGTGTGTGTGTGTGTGTGTGTGTGTGCAGCTGCCCACCTCCAGCTCCTGTTCCCTCTGTAGGGCGAACTGCTTAAATGACTTGACGATGATTCCGGCGTTGGAGCAGTCGTAAACAAAAATGGACGGGCTCCCCATCCACGTCTGCAGGTCGTAGATGGACAGCGGGATGTACTGGGTGTAGTTCTGCAACAGACCAGGAGACAGGATAGACGCTGCATTATGTTACTGCTAATAACTCACTTTAATTGATTTATAATGTTAAATTATTAACCATGCATCTGTTTGATGAAAAGTACAAGAAGACAGGGAGAGTAGATGTGGGGAAAAAGGAAAGCATAATAAGGAAAAGTGAGAACAATGAGGAGATTGGGAAAGTCAGGAGTATAAATCCATCGTGGGGCTGTAAAGGCGTCAGCTCCAAAACCTAATGTTAAATTTTATTCTACACAAGTTCCTGGCATCGCTGGCTTCTAAAATAAATCCCGCTGATGTCCCGTTTCAGCAGGCTGTGACACAGCAGTGTCAATTTACAGGATAAGGAATGAGGAATAAAATGTAGAGGAAAGGGGAAAAGAGGAACGAGGACGAAGAAGCCATATAGCTTCAGGCTGTAAAGCTGACGTGGAAATGTTCAACCCAGACAGCTGTGGTGCATCATTACACGCGTGTGCACACTTACGGGACAAAGCAGCAAACCGCTAAGCGTTTAGTGTCTGACATGTCAGAATCACTGCAACTCAAAGCTTAGAGGAGCACAAGGCTGGAGCTCAAAGGTAAACTGTGTTTATGTGTTTGGTTACAAAGTGATTCGTGCTTTTACAACAAATCAACCTACTACTGATTTATTTTAGTCCACTTCAATCAAATTCAGGATTTTAGGAAGAACTTCTGAACTTTATTCAAAATCTGTTTCAACACAAATCCTGACATTTTGTTCAGTTCTCCTGCCATATTTCTGAGTGTCTGGCCTGAGTGTCCCTGAACGCATCATCGCTGGAGCTGCTAGCTATAGCTTCCTTCGCTGTGCCCTCCTACACTGCCATCAGCTGAAATATGACAGAGACTTGCACTATTTGGTGCACTTGTAAACATGGCCTGTGTATTTCTCAGCACGAGATAGTTAAGACGTTGTTGGAGCTTCTGCGTTATTTAATAAACAAACATGATTAATGATGTTAATAATGAACAATAATTGGCTGTATATTTTCAGAGGACAGGTCTGTATGTGTGGTACCTTGTTGAAAACCCAGATTTCCCCATTGACGGTGGGCCGTGGCACTCCGTGGCCGTTGTAGTGGAAGAGGACCCGCTCTTCCTTTGCGTTGCGTCTCAGTGACGTGCACAGTTTCTTCACCTCGTCCACTGTGGGGTCCAGACTCTGTTTGTAGCGGGCCTAAAATCACAAAACAAGAGAGAAAGTGGAATCGAGATCTATGAACTTCGGAATTTTGTTTCTGCTTTACAAATCGAGCTGAATCTGACCTGAAGCCTAAGCTGCATGTGGCTGACACGGCAAACAAGTTTTAAAGATCATAAAAATTAGTTTACTCCGATAACTGAAAGCTGTCAAAACATAAAACATCAAACTGCTTTTCTATGGAATTAAACCTTTGTTAATTGTTGAGTACAAGACAGTCAGCCCCATGTGTGTGTGTGTGTGTGTGTGTGTGTGGCCCGGAGGACAGAGGACAGGAGAATGCGCAGCTAATTAATTAAATAATTTGGTTCTGTACATTTCTCTTCAGCACAGCCGACAAAGGTTTATGATGGGTCAGTCTAGGGCTGCTCAATTAATCGAATTTTAATCACGATTACGATCTGAGTTTTGAACGATTATAAAAAACAAAACAAGCCGATTATTTGCTCCTCCCGCTTGCGCTGCCCTGAGTTGCAAATGAAGCGCTCCTCCACAGTGTTGCCAACTTAGCGACTTTGACGCTATTTCTAACAGCTTTTCAGACCCCCTTCTTGACTTTTTAATCCTAAAAGTACCTAGCGAACACCTCAGAAACATCTCTGGTAACCCTTAGCTACTTTCTGGATAACTATCGTCGATGTTTCCTGCAGGTTAGCTAAACACTCCGCCTGCACTCCGGACCGTTCTTCAGGACATTAGGAAAGGGAATGATGTAGTGATGTGTCGGTCGCTAAAGACAGCTCTCGGAGCCGCCCTGCTCCCTGTTGGAGTAACCAGAGTGAGTGACACACACACCGCACCTGCGGACTCCTGAGCCGCTAAAAACAGCTAAATGTGCGCGTGCGGCGCGCTAAACACACGTGCAGCTTGCCCCTGATTGCTGTGAGACCGGGTTGGGGGGTGGGGGGTGCAGTTGTGGTTGGGACAATTATTACATTAACTGATGGACCTGTAAATAAATAGTTTGTAAATAAGGTAGAAATAACTTCCTCACGCTGATAAATAATAACTAATCTCTCTGAGGACACGGTGCTAGTGCACTCTCCTACAGCACCTTGACACAACTCAATAAATGTTATGCAACATTTTGTGAACATCAATTTATTTGCATTTATTTGTTATAAATGCCACTGTATAATTCTTGCTGTCAGTATTTGCAAGATATTGGTATTTGGTTCTGTACTGGTTAGACTTACATGAGTTAAACCAAGGTCTACAGCCCTTGGGTCATAGACTATGAGCTATAAGTATATTGGTCTTTTATACAGGGAATCAGGAGTTATTTTAGTGATCATCTTGTTTCTTATTTTTGTCCTGATTGTGCCCTGAGCAATTTTATGACTGAATAAAAACAAATAAAATCAACATAAATTGAAAAATCGTCCTAAATAATCGTGATCTCAATTTCAGTCACCATAATCGTGATTATTATTTTTGCCATAATCGAGCAGCCCTAGGTCAGTCCTCCTGCATGCTCAGATCATTCCTTTCCCTTGCTTGAAAAATTGTTCCAAAATGAAAGTTGAACCCACATATTTTTTATCTGTGAATTCAATGCCGTTCGGCGAGTCTCAAATAAACATTTGGGCATCTTACTGTAAAAAAATATACCATTAATGTAAAAAAGAAACTCTAAAAAAACTATGTTCACATCCAGAATTGAACCCAGGTCTTCTGCATGAGTCAGACCTCTTACTAGGTGAGCTAAAGCACCAGTAGCATTCAAAGCATCAGTAACTTTTACATCCTTGGTAACACCTGAAACAACGTCAAACCAAAGAACGGTTCAGAGAGAAAATGGCTATTTTGTTGCTAATTTGCAGGAAATATCTAGAAGAAAGTTCTACAGAAAGTAGCTAAGGGTCCTCAGAAATGTAGCTAACTTTGTCACTAGGCATTAGGAACAGCGACAAAGTCGCTGAGTTGGCACCATCGACTACCTCACTCTCTGCTGCTAAAGCTACGGATAGCAAATGCTACGGGCTATGCCTGAGCGTGAATGCGCATGAAGCAGCCTGCTCGACCCGAGCATCTCTTTTTTTCTGTGATTTTACAGAAAAACAGGCAATCACAGTAAAAATGCCAGGGCTCATTCTACAGGACCAGGGCATTGCAGGAGAATGTATGAAGAAGACATTTATTATTTCTATACATGTTTTGGCTGTCAAACTTCCATAATGCCCCTTTAAAGCAAAGTTGAATATGTGTGTTTTTCAGTCGCCGTAAATGATCGCTTCATCATACAGACATGAGCTGAACTTGCAGCCACAAATCTGCTCAGCAGGCACAGATGCAAATTAATTTTGTATTTATCACTATATGATGTATTTTTTCTTTTTTCGATATATCGCCCAACCCTAATACTTGGTATGGAATGGTGAGGGTCGGCTTGCTAATTTTTCTGTTCCCATTGTAAAACCAGTAAAGAAATTCTAACCCGACCGCGCCAGTCACGGCTTTTTGGCCCCGTTCTGTTGTAGGTCCAGAAATTTCTGGAGTGGTGTGGTTAGGGCGAAGCAACAACGCAGTCCACTGACTGGGGAACAGAAATACGTCACTACTTGCAACGAGCAAAACAACCTGACTTCAACGGAGTTCCATCGTTTGTATTTGCATTAGTTGTACATGAATGTGAAAACATTTGAAAAGTAGCGGCAAGTTTTGGTCACCTTCAGAGCTCCATACATTCCTCACAGTCATTGTGAATCCACACTCAGGAGGAGCTAGACGGATCGGTAATGACATTTCTTTTTCTCAGCGGATGGCAGCTGAAGAATCTGAATGGTCGTTCGAACAGTGTCGGGCCGAGCTAAAGAATGAAGCCCAATATAGAAAAGATAAAGAAAGAAACTGCCGACACGAGAGCCCAAACTGTGATAGAAACGCTCAACTGAAAATTGCAGACCCAAACCAGTCCACACCACCAACGGTAACTCGTTCCAAAACCGCACCAGAACCAACGATCAAAATGAGGCTTAAATAAATATGTGTGGTATGGTATGGCATATTAAGTTAAAGTTAAAAGTTAAAGTCCCATTAGTTGTCACACACACTAGTGTGTGTGCGAAATTTGTTCTCCGCATTTGACCCATCCCCTGGGGGAGCGGTGAGCTGCAGACACAGCCGCGCTCGGGAACCATTTGGTGGTTTAACCCCCAATCCAACACCTTAATGCTGAGTGTCAAGCAGGGAGGCATTGGGTCCCATTTTTTCAAAGTCTTTGGTATGACCCGACCAGGAATCGAACCCTGATATCCCAGTCTCAGGGCGGACACTCTACCACTAGGCCACTGAGCTGGTTATATGGTATGGTGTGTGGTGTATGGTATGGTATGCAGGGTTCCCCCAGCGCGTTATAAGCCTGGTGGCCCGCCAGGGTAAGCGTCATGCCCCACCCCCCTTCCTGACCCTACCGTGTCCGCTGACATGAACGACAAAATGAAACTAGAGCCCTCCATCAGCCGACACTGGTGAGAAGCAGCAGCGGAACGTGTGCAACCCCCCCAACCCCACCCGCGCTCTCACAGAGGAGCGCTGCAGGACAAAAAAAGTGCATTATGCTCAGCTTTCCTAACCCACAGAACTTTATTCCCTGTAGGTCACTAGGTGTGAATCTTCACTAGTCCCACGATTCAGTTCAATCACGATTATCATGTCAGCGATTCAATTCAGTTCCATATCACTATGCATCACAATTACTCCGTATGGGTGAATTTTCATCATTGAATAGAAGATGTCATGCTTTTTTCCCATCAAATTTGTGTCAAACACTACATGCCATCCCGTAAAAAGCTCTTCATACAAAATGGTCCTTCGGACAATATAAAAGTGCAAAGCATTTTAAACACGCCTTCCATTTAGTTGATAAAAGCCATAATGGTCATATTGGATTTTAAAGTCTTTGGAGCAGCTTTAAAATTAAACTTTTACGCAGCGGTTAAAAAAACTAACTGTATTACACAATAATCGATTATGGTGTGCTTCTTCTATGATTCATAATCATTTGAATCCACATCTCGATGCATCAATTATTAGATTAATTTTCTCAGCTCGGGTTTCATTGGAATTATTCTTTTGAGAAGACTTGCCTGACTATTGACTATCTGCAACTACACTCCAGTTTCAGTTTTTCTCTAGATCATTGCACTTGGTAGGCAATAGAAAAACGTTTTCATGACCTGGACAAACAGGCCACTGGATTTATTGCTAGTTGAAGCATTTTTAAATCTACTTTAAGCTGCTAACCTGGAAATAAAGAGAAACTGGCCTTGAAAGAAGAAATCACAGATGTAGTTTATGGGCTAACAAGGAGGCTGATGCATGTCTGAGTGTGACCTTCAACTTAGGTGTTAATAGTAGAAAGAATAGAAACGTGTTTTTACCTTCAAATCATTGTGAAGTGTTGCTTTCAGAGAATAAAATTGTGGTTAAAAATAGAAAGTGAGCAGATATAAGATGGATGGAATAAAAACTGGTTTTAGACTGTGCTTCTGTTGCTTGACAGCTGTCAGCTTGCTTTCTCTGCCACCTGTTGTTCACTTCCTCTTCAAGTTCACAGATTTACGAGGTTTTATAAGAGCATGAAGCTCATACCTGTGTGTTCACAGTGTGAATAAGCCGGAGAGATTTTAAAGTTCGAGACCGAGGATGTGTGCGTTGTTTATGCTGCTTGGTTTTATTAGACAAAGTGCCTGTTTGTGACACTGAGGAGCCAGCGTGTTACACAACAGCAAAGCTCCCGTTTAGAAAGGTCTGAGTCATTATAATACTCACCGAAGCCCTTCTGTTACATAGCTAACATGACTGTTAACAGACGGCCTCCTGAAGAAGCGCTTTGGATCACAGAAGGCATTTTTTTGTTTAGTTTTTGTACAAGAAATAAAAATGACAAGAAAAGGGTTGCAGTCACACACATTTAGCACTAAAGTCTGAAAGACATAGTGAGCGGAAGGTTTATTTGTAATACCTGCACAATA